AGGACTCCGGGGGTGTGTCCTCGTTGTAAAAAGGGGAAGCATTGGGCCAACGAATGCAGGTCAGTTAGGGATATTGATGGACATCTCCTCCCCCAAATTGGTTCAAACACTCATTCGGAACCAGAGCCAAAAAATGGGAAAAGGGGCCCTCGTCCCCAGGGCCCGAAAATTTATGGGGCATTTCAGAGTCCGGTTCCCGAACAACCCCCACAACAACCCTCCAACCAAAGAGAGCAACCTCAGGCTCCGCAGGGTTGGACCTCTGTGCCACCTCCGGACTGGTATTAACCCAACAGATGGGAGTTCAGATTGTGGAGACGGACATGACAGGGCCCCTGGATAAGGACACTGTAGGAATAGTTCTAGGACGCTCCTCCTCTACTATGAGGGGGCTAATAATTTACCAGGGGTAATTGACCCAGACTATACGGGAACCATTAAGGTCCTCTGTCATGTCCCCCGCGGGGTAGTGTCTATTTCCCCCGGAGACAGAATTGCACAACTTCTGGTTTTGCCTTCCTTGCACGGCAACTTCCCTGCTAAGGAGATAAAGAGAGGTGATGGAGGGTTAGGCTCCACTGGAGTCGACCTTACATGTCTGTCCTTAGCTTTGGACCAAAGGCCCATGTTAACTCTTCAAGTGGAAGGAAAAAGATTTGAGGGACTGGTGGATACAGGGGCAGATAGAAGCATCATCCGAAGAGGGGAGTGGCCAAAGCGATGGCCAACTCAAAAATCCTCCCAAACCTTGCAAGGGCTGGGCTATGCTGAGGCCCCACAGTTAAGTGCTAAAGAATTGACTTGGAAAACGGACGAAGGCCAGGTTGGGAGGATGCAACCCTTTGTGGTTGATGTCCCCGTTAACCTTTGGGGAAGAGATGTACAGCAACAGCTAAAGTTAACTTTGACTAATGATTATTCAGAGGCCAGTCAGAACATGATGAAACAACAAGGATTTGTTCCAGCCTTGGGACTTGGACGATGTCTCCAAGGATGCAAGGAGCCAATAGAGCCACTTCCTAAGCAGGATAGAAAGGGTTTGGGTTTTTCTTAGGGGCCCCTGAAAACAAAGCTTCCACTAAAGGTGCGGTGCCCATACCTTGGTTATCCCAAAAAGCAGTGTGGGTTCCTCAGTGGCCCCTCTCTCAAGAAAAGTTGGAAGCAGCACAAACCCTTGTTCAGGAACAGCTACAGTTGGGGCATGTTGAGCCTTCCGTGTCATCCTGGAACACCCCAATTTTTGTAATAAAAAAGGCCTCTGGAAAATGGAGACTGCTACATGACCTTCGAGCAGTAAATGCTCAGATGCAGATCATGGGACCGGTGCAAAGGGGGCTCCCCCTGCTTTCGGCATTACCTAAAGAATGGCCTATTTTAGCCTTAGATATTAAGGATTGTTTTTTCTCCATACCGCTCCATAAAAAGGACAGGGAGCGCTTTGCTTTTACTTTACCTTCAGTTAATCATGAAACTCCGGATGCTCGCTACCAGTGGAAGGTTCTCCCTCAGGGGATGGCTAATAGCCCAACAATTTGTCAATTGTTTGTAGGAGCTGTGTTGGCCCCTGTTAGAAAAAACTTCCCAAAGGTACGGATTATCCATTATATGGATGATATCTTGTTGGCTGCTCCTTCAAAAGAGACTCTTCATAAAGTATTTGGGCAGATAACAAAGACCTTAGCTGAGAAGGGATTGATAATTGCCCCTGGAAAGGTTCAACAGACTAGTGTTGTTCAATTTCTGGGAACCATTGTTTCTCCCAATGAGATTAAGCCGCAAAAGCTCTTTATTCGAACTGATCACCTTAAAACACTTAATGATTTTCAGCAATTGGCCGGAGACATTAATTGGATAAGGGGATTTCTTAATCTCCCTCGGTCAGAGTTGTTACCTTTGTTTGCCATTTTGGAGGGTGACCCTGAAGTCACCTCCTCTAGGTCCCTGACACCTTTAGCACTAAATTCCCTACAAAAGGTTGAGGCAGCTTTGTCTAGGGCTCAACTTTCACGGGTTGATTTAAAATTACCTATCGATTTATGTATATTAAAAACGAAAAATTATCCCACGGGGGTTCTTTGGCAAAATGGCCCCTTGTGGTGGCTTCATGGCAACTCGGTGGGAACAAAGACAGTCCAATATTTTCCTGAATTAGTGGCTAAACAAGCACTTTTGGGCATAAAGTATTGTTTGATGCACTTTGCAAAGATCCCAGATAAATTAATCATTCCATATACCCGTGAGCAAGTTGAGATTTTGGCCGCTACAGTGGATATGTGGGCGATTCTTGTTTGCTCATTCCCCAATATTATTGATAATCATTATCCTAAACATCCTTTGCTTGCCATAGTTAAAAAAGATTTAATATATTTTCCTGTTGTTACTTTAAAGAAACCCTTGGCTGATGCTTTAACCATTTTTACGGATGGATCAAAATCTGGACAAGGTGCCTTCCTTGTTCAAGGACGCCGACAGCCGGTGGTCTTTAATTTTCGGCCAAACGTCCCACAGGCTGTTGAATGTTTAATTGTGCTTGAAGTTTTTAAAAGATTTGATCAACCTATTAATTTATTTTCTGATTCACTATATGTAGTAAATGCTGTTGCTTCCCTTGAAGTTGCTGCTTCAATTAAACAGGCTAGTACAATTTCTAATGTTTTGCTACAGATTCAATCCCTTATTTTAGACAGAAAACACCCTTTTTATATTGGACATATTCGTGCTCACTCTATGTTGCCGGGCCCAATGGCAAAGTGTAATGACTTAGTGGATCAAGCAACTCGGGCTGTGGCTCTGGTCGCTGCTGATCCTGTAAAATTGGCAGAGGATTTTCATAGGTTGTATCATGTGCCTGCAAATACCCTTAGGAAAAGATATAATTTGCCCAGACATGTAGCTAGGAAAATTGTTAAAGCCTGTAAATCTTGTGTTACCTTTCTTCATCCTCCCCATGTGGGGGTAAACCCCAGGGGGTTGAGACCTAACGCCTTATGGCAAATGGATGTTACTCATTTGACAGAATTTGGTAAGTTAAAATATTTGCATGTGTCTGTGGACACCTTTTCTGGTGTCATTCATGCCACACCTTTGGCAGGAGAAAAGGTGTCTCACGTTAAAATACACTGCTTGGAAGCTTGGGCAGCTTGGGGAAAGCCCCTTAGACTTAAGACAGATAATGGCCCTGCTTATACTTCCCAGGGTTTTCGTGCCTTTTGTGCACAACTGCAAGTTGCCCACACTACCGGGTTGCCTTATAATCCTCAAGGACAAGGTATAGTGGAAAGAGCCAATAGAAGCATAAAAGAAATGCTTCAAAAACAAAAAGGGGGAATTGCTGAGTCAGCGTCCCCCAGGGAAAGACTTTCCCTTGCGCTCTTTACCCTCAATTTTTTAATTTTAAATGATAAAGACCAGTCTGCAGCAGACCGGCATGTGACAAGAGACTCTACAGACAATAAAGACATGGTTATGTGGAAGGATGTCATTGATAACAAATGGTATGGACCGGATCCGGCTATTACGAGATCCAGGGGAGCTGTTTGTGTTTTTCCACAGGATCAAGAAACACCACATTGGGTCCCAACTCGGCTAACAAGATTGGTCAAGGAAACTCAGGACGAAAAACAGGATGATCAAGAAGGCGTTGAGCGTGATAATATTATTGATGGTCAAGACCTATCACAGTCAAGGAGAGCTACGATGGGGGATCCTATCGGTGTTCCCGAGGCCGATGCCAGTTAGGCATGATGCCCGCCTTTTTGCGGATTGCCATTGTGACTGTCAATTCCACGCAAATGGATCCCGGATTTGTGGAGGGGCTCCAGTCCTGGATTTCCTCCGCTGTTTCCTGGTTCAAGGAATGGGTGGGGGTGGGGTTTATTTTTAGCTTGCTGCTTGGGCGGATGCTTGGTCTGCCTATGGTTGGTCTGTCGCCTTCGAGCCCAAACCAGTAGGGACAAAGTTGTTATTTCGCAAGCACTAGCCGCTTTGGAGAGTGGATCCTCACCCCAAATTTGGCTGTCGGCCCTGAGAGGTCATTAAGCCTTATCATTTCGCATAGCCCTAGCACCCCGAGGGATCTGGGGATCCCATTGCACCGGGATGGGTATGTGACTGATAACTTGGAACAGGGTGCAAGGCAAGTGCACTGCACTTGACAAGAATTTTCCTCTCAAGAAGAGCACGTTGGGCTGCAAGTGGGTTGATGCCCAAGGTCCCACCTCTGCAAAAAAGGCATCGGACGGGCCTGGTCGTCACTGGGGAAGGCGCCCCCCAGGCGAAGGCCAGTGCAAGGTCCTATTTTTGAGGCAGAGGCCCGACCTCTACTCTTACCTGTTACCAAAACAAAAAGGGGGAACTGCAGGGAGCCGGGACAAACGCCATTACAAGATGGCGCCCACTTCCTTTCAGCTTAGAGGTAAATGACTCCATATTAGGCAAGTGCTTGGCGGAGCTGCGGGTCCCTAGCTTTGCGCATGCGCCATCATTGTAAATCCTGAGCCAATCCCGTGGCACCTGGTGACGGTAGAAGGCGGACAGCCAATCCTGAAGCGACCCGTGTTCCAAACCCTATATAAGCGGCTGCATTTCCTTGCTCGCTCTCTTGCGCTCAAGCTCTCCCTTCAACTAAAAGGCTCTCCAATAAAGTGTGATCTGAGAAGACTCCTGGTGTGGTGGTCGTTCTTCCTCGCTGGCCGAGAAGGCGTTCGCCGCAAATGACAAATAATTTTAATCTAAAACTAATTTTACATATAAAATATAAAGTGATACCATGAGTTCAAACAAACCAACTAGCTTGAAAATTGGTATAGAATGTGATATTGTGATGACTATCCATATGAGGAAGTAGAAAAATTAGACATTGAGAAAATAAATGAACATATCCATTAGTTGAAGAGCAATATAGCTTTTAGCATGAGTAATATGTTTATATCGACAATCATATATCAACGTGTGGCTAGGCCCTCATCTCATTCAGACAGAATCTTGTTTTTTCTACTCACCCACAGGAGACATTTCTGGAACACTAGCAATGTAAGGGCCATCCAGAAACTTCGGCTCATTGTCATTGATGTCTTGCACTTTGATGATGAATTCTGATTCTGGCTCCAAAGGCTTCCTCGTTTCTATGTCCACAGCCTGAGCACGAAGTGTGTAGAAAGGTTTTTCTTCTCTGTCCAGGCTCCTTATTGCATGAATGTCCCCTGTGGTCTCATCGATGGTAAAAACAGTGCCAGCACCGTCTCCTGAGAGGGTGTACTTAACAGTGCCCTCTCCTTTGTCCAAGTCAGAGTGGAGCTTTGGGGAAGAGAAGGAGGAAGTGGGAAAGGGTAGAGGGGAGGGGGATGGGGAGAAAGAGGAGGAGATTATTAAATAAATGCTTCCTTATTTTTGAAGTCATATTTACACTATACTTTTTCAGAGAATAATGTTGAACTTTGAGGTTTTTTTTCATGCTTTCATCTAATTTTTAATTATAAAAATTAATCACAGGATGTTTGAAAAGATGTACAGTGATTAACACATACACTTATACTTTCTGCCATTTACTTTTCATTTTCTTACCTCCTCAAGAAGCTAAGCAATTGCTCATGGATTCTTCTGTCTATCTTATTTCTTAATGCATGAGGGAAATACAAGCTCTAGATGCAATCATTAGAAGAAAGATAATTTTGAAAAAAATTCAATAATTTTTTAGCCTTTTGGTGATATTTTTCATAAAAAAATGGCACACATCTTAAGTATAGATATTGTTTTTAAACAAACAATTCATAATTAGCTCATGCAGAACAAAGACTTCAACTCAGTATACTATAAGAAAGGTATGGAATCCATCTTGATAGCTTTCAGTGAATGAATGTATCAAGAAAATGTGGTATACATGCAGAACGGAATTTTACGCATCCACTATAAGGAAATGGAAAGTCCTGTAAAAAAAAATTATGGTAAGTATAAGTCAGGGCCGGAGAGACATAGGATTCAAGTATTCCCTTATATGTGGAAGATACTTAGATTTAAAATTGTAAATAAGTATGTTGGGTTATATGCAAATCTAGACAAGTGTATTAGCAGAAATATGGTAGATTCAAGGGAGAACTCAAATACTGTAATTGCTTACAAATTTCAATGAAATAAATACCAAGAAGGGAGAACTTGAAAGTAGTGAAGTGATACCAAGGGGCAAGGAGTAGACAAATGAAAAAGGGAACGGGGGAGAATTCAGTAAAGAATTCAATGTATATCTGACAAAAATAGCAAGAGTGACAGAAAGGGTGGGTAGGCAAAGGACTGGTGAGAATGTTGAAAGGGGTGACATTGATCAAGACGCATTATATTCATAAACTACTGTGTTCAATGGCAGCTCCTTTTGCATAACTATTAAAGTGATTGAGGATTAGGGGCTTCTATATTTTTAAGTAAGAAAAATATTATAAGAACACACTGAGCCTTTAACCCCTGAAAGAGATATCTTCCAGCTGAATAAAGGAGAGCATCCTGTTTTAGCAGAATGTGCTAGAATGAGTTGTTGAAGATGAGTTTGATTGGTATAATCTGTGATTGTCTTTGCAAAGTCAAAGATAAGAAGCTTCTAATTTATTCCATATAGAGAAAAAATTATTCTTTATAATATAGGAAAAACTTGAATTTTGTTAGTTTTGTTTAGAATTGAACACATATATTGTTCGTTATATTACACCAAGGAATTAGGTACATATGAGTGACTATACTAAGAGAAAAAATATTATCCTTAAGATAGAGTAAGTCACTGTTGCTCAAAGTGTAATTTAAGAATAAATAGAAAAAAACATAATTTTTCAGATACATAAATTATCATAGAATAACTGATAATATGCACTATCATACTAAATGCATATTTATATGTAATGATATCACAAGTTTTATATGAGTGTATATATATGTAAGGATATGACATGTATTTTATAAGATAGTATGATTTTAATTGCATATGTGTATTCTTATTAAAAATTTATTAGGAAATAGATAAAATATCTTAACCTACTTCTGCTCTTTGGTTTAGATAAATTAGTTTATTTTGTCTTAAGTTTAAAGTTCAGTTCAGTGAATAGAGAAATAGATTATTCAGAGGAACCATATTCAACTTTCATATTGAGAGATGAAATATCATAATCTAACTTAGATCTTTAATTTGTAGACATGAGTTCATTTTGTTTTAGGTTTAAAGTTCATTTCAGTGAATAGATGAGTCAGAGGAAAATTATTCAACTTTTATATTGATCATAGCCATTTGTGATGATTTATAATTTGCATGCAAAGACAATTTCCTTGAAAAACTTTTATCAGATGCCTTTTTATAAATTGGTTCAACTCACAAAATAAATTTAAAATGTACTAAAATAAATTGTTACAAATAATATTTCTGAATATCAGTCCTAACAATTTCCAAAGATAAATGCACACTAAATGTGCTCAACTTTGTCTATACTGCAACTATTCAAATTCAACATTTTGGCCTGTATTCAGTAAAATATTTTAATTAGTGTTATTTTTTGATAAATGTATCAATTGTAAGTTTGAATTTATTTTTAAATGTTCTCTTGAAGAATATTTATATGAAGCTATGAATATGAAGACTTTTACCTTGTCAAGGGCCATAAATAAAAGCATAAAGCAAAAATAAGATGTCATATGATTTTGATTGTTATTTAGACATTTTATATATTTTTATTTAAATAAATGAAAAATTGTTATAGATGGCTCAAGGTAGTATTTTTCCTGTGTATTTATTTCAAGCTTCTCTGAAGCAAAGGAACTTCAAGTGTAAAATCAAGCTCTAGATAAATGTTCTTTGAACTTAGGGATTTCAAATTACAAATTTCAACCATACTATTAAAAATATGCTATGCAGTACATATTGCTTTTGCTTTCATATTCGTCTAGATATAAGACAGCTAAAAGCTCGATGCAAGAGAAATGACTTTATAAACCAGACTCATTTTGCCAATGGCTCAAATATATTCTCTGATATTTTGGGAACTGAGTGAAAATTCTAAGTGGGTTTTCACAATGAGATGCAAGTCTAGCTGCTAAATAAAATGTCCTTAGGTAAAATCAAAATTGTTATTAGCCCTATCACATATACAAAGAAAATTAAATTTCTGCTTCTTTTTAAACTTACCTTCTTTCTTTCCAATTTAAAAATGGGCTTTACAGAGATAAAACTTCAGATTTAATATGTATGTTAATGGTGAATTGACCAACAGAGACTCAACAGAAAGAGGAAGGAGGATAAGGAAATATAATCAAGGGTATGAAGTCATTAAAAAATGCAGAATGTATTTTTGGAACTATCTATGAATTCATCACAGTGAAATTTCCTAGTATAATTAATGCATGCTAATAACTCTTCTTGTAAAATAATTCTTCAGTGTGTTAGAAATTTTAACTAAAAATTAATAATTGTACAAATCTCAAAAGGATTAGAGCCTTTATAGTTTTTGATCACATGTTAATATATTAAAAGAAGTCCCATGCAACATCCAGATTTGTCAGACAATATTTAAAATTAGTCATTTAATGCTAATTGGCTGTCATATGTGACTTACCTAAAGAACAAATGCCCTGTCAATATTACTTCTGATGTTATAAAAATGATAATACCCTGATATTCTGATATTGGACACTTTAAACTTTTAGTTAGAAATAAAAATAATTGAAATAGAGAATAGTAAAATGTAAGATGAAAAATATCATCAACACCTATCCAGGGATATCTTTTTATTAAATTTATTTCAGTTATGTATATATATATATATATATATATATATATATATGAATTGAATTCTAAAAGGTAAAAACATAGAAATATGTTCTGTTTTATATTTTCTTAAAATGTACAAATCTATTTTATACACATTTAAATATATATTCTTATCTGTCTACACATTTGTATATTCATATAAATATATACTATTTGAAATACTTTGAATTATATGCAGTGTAATAGGATAAAATATGTTAAAAAAAGCATTTCCTAATCCCCATGTATGAAATGGGATTTCCAGATCCAGAATTTAGCACATAAACTTTTTGAGCTGGGAGAATTCATGTGGTCATTACTTCCTGCAACTCCTAATCCTTACATAAAGGATTTGGATTACTAAAACTTATTATGTTCCTTAATATTCCAAATGTGTAGCTACATGTGGTCCTCCTAAGAACCAGGAATAGTAGGTGAATTTTAGAGCTACCTTTGCCAGGTATAGTCCTATTTACCTGTCTATACATTTATTAAAATTATGTCACTTGATCGTTTCAAAGGAAACAATAGATGCAGACAGCCCCTTAGATTAAGTTAGTTAAAACATTTTATTTTTGTTTTGTCTTGTTTTACTACCTGGTTTTAATTTTTGAGTTTGACTCTTTTGATTTTTTTTTTTATGTGAATGTTTGTGTTTGTATGTTTTCTGGTATTTAGTTTCTGTGAAAACAGCAACTTTTAAACCACAAATGTGATTTGTGGTTGAAACTTGAAGGGGAAGGACTAGATGAATGAGGAGGAGAAGAGGGGGCAAATGTGGTAAAGAACTGAATGTATATCCTACCCAATTAAGAAGTGTGGGTGGAGGGGTGGGGAGGAGAGACTGTTGAAAGGCCTAATGTTGACCAACATACATTCTATTCATAAACTGCTTTCTTAAGTCTCAGTGCCTTTGTACAACTACTTAAAGGTAATGATAAGAAGAAGAATAATCTCTATCAATAAATTTTGCTTTCTCAAGCCTCTCATTGATAATTTTAGGCTTAGTTTAGCCTATGAAGTTATTTCTACATCTCATTTGCATAAAGGAGGGAGAAGTAAGGAAGAGCTATTCATAGGCCTTCTCTCCTCTTTAGGTGGTGTTAACTGTAAAAAAATATGTGCTTCACTTTACATAGTCACTTTAGGTCATGCATATATAAAAACCATACATCTATAAAAATAAATGCATTTTTATTCATAACAATTTTAACTGCAAGTAATATGTGTTATTCCGAGTATTAAAAATAAGCTGATTCTGAGCTGGTGCTGACTGCATTTATAGCCCACTCCAATAATATCATTTTTTTAGAGTATTGTCACTTAAAATAAAATTTGCAGAAACAGAGTTCCATAAATGATAAATGTGGAAATAGGCACTGTCCAACAGTTGCTCTGTGGAAGTGATGGTGTTATTTTCTGATGTGTTCCAAGTCATCTCAGATGGCGTGTGAAAAATCAGATGCCAAAGGAGGCTTAAAAAAAAGTTCATACAGATGAGCTCCCAGAGAGCAGATCT